TTTGTATTTTGCGTTGTTTTAAGAATTAAAAGTTAAAACTGAAAAAAATCAAGTGAAATTAATAAAAATATTATCTAATTATCTGCAGATAATCAGATCTCAGTTTTATTTATCTATACTCTATTCACGTTTAGAAGCGACCCAGACGTCTGAAAATTTGGTGGCCGCCTGGGTGGCTTGTAAACGTAAATAAAGTATAGATGTTATGGCTTAAGTCCAAAACGTGTATAAAGTGCACATTATCCGGCTAATGCGCACATCATTATCCATACTAGTTTGGTAAAGTAAACACTCAAAATTTAAAATCATTGTTTCGTACATTAACCGGCTATTTCGTACATTAGACATTGATGAATGGATGAAGTAACTGGTTAGGTTAGGTTACCTAACAAAATAAACAAAATCTGGTATTATCTTAAATGTGTAACGATAAACTTATGGTGCTGTTTTTATGTCGTGAAAACCATACAAAAATAATATGGCATTTTAACCTACTATAATTGTAATGTCGAGGTCTACATTAATAACGGCAACTCAACATTATAATAAAAGAGATTTAATGTGTACAAAACATGAATATTACATGATACTTATTCATTACATTGTTTTAACTGAAAGTAATCCGTTAGACAATTTGACATTTGTATAAATAAAAGTAACATAACCTATATACAAATAAATCCATTTGTACAGTGCAACCACATACACTACAGATCCTCCCCACTAAGCAAGGAACCATATACATCAATCAATACAACATTTATCTTAATCCTAAATACAAATTAACTTTTATGCTCCTTTCTACTAAGCATTGGAGACATTTACAAACCAAAACAATACAACATTATTTATTTTTTGTTTTTTTAATAATAATAATAATAATAACTTCTCATAAGTACATAACAAAAAAAATACAATAGAACTTGAAGTTCCTAAACATTAAAACAATATAATATAACATAGTATACAACATTTATAAATTTAAACGATTAGGAATTTTTTAATCCTCTCACTCCTCCATAACTTTGGAACATCCTGTTGTTCAGTCTCAAGGCTATCTTCAACTCCATTTACTTCTCTCACTACCTCCTTAACAGGCAATGATAGTAATTGAACTTTAGGCCCCAAAACAGAGTTTGTTAATGTTTTAATACAAGGGTTTGTTTCAGCAACACTAGTTTCCAATAACTGATTAATATGTCTTTTCCAAACCTCACCCCCTACACACTGTACCATATAAATTACAGGAGATAATATTTGAATAATAGTACCCCTTATCCACTTAGCCCCACTAGCATAATTCCGGCACATCACATCATCACCCATTTCAAACATTTTAACTCTACCCCTTTTATAAACTCTCTTACCTGCCAACATACTATTATTATATCTATATTTAGCTCTCGGCACCAATCTGTCAAAAGATGTAAATAACTTCCTACCAATATGTAATTCAGCTGGTGTTACACCTGTAGCACAATGCTTGGTACTATTATAAGATAACATAAATCTGGCAATTTCTGTATCTAAGTCTGACTTCATACCACTCTTCTTTAAAAAATTCTTAAAAGTTCTAACCAAATTTTCAGCAGCCCCATTAGACACAGGATTGTATGGAGGTGTTTTCACATGGAACACTCCATTCTTAGCTAAAAACTCTTCCATAACTTCTGACACTAATGATGGACCATTATCTGTTACCAGCTTAGCAGGTAAGCCCCACAGGGAAAAATACTCCCGTAAAATCTTAATTGTTGATTCTGAAGTGATATTATCTTGCCATTAATAGGCCCTAAAAAATCCAAATGGATCCGTTGAGCTGGTCCCTCAGGCCATGGCCAATTATTGTGTAATATTGACTTTGGTGGATTATCGCTGTATTCAACACACCCACTACATTCTTTAGTGATTAAATCAATTTCTTTGTCAATATTTGGCCACTACATATATGACCTCGCTATCGCTTTCATTTTAACCTTACCTAAATGAGAACTATGCAATTCCATCAACAAAACCTCCTGTAACTTTAATGGAATAACCAGCCTATGTCCCCAAAGTAACAAACCTTGCTCGATAGCAAGCTCATTCCTCCTATTAAAATAAGGCTTAATATCCTCCGACAGTTCTTTACTGGAATTAGGCCACTTTCCCGACATCACCAACAAAAAAACTTTTTTTAATACCTTGTCCCTCTGAATTTCCTCACAAATATCTAAATCAGCAATCTCCTGAACATTCGTTGTTATTAAATTAATAAAAAATTACTACAAAACACATGGTTGATCATAATATCAGCTCCCTCAATTGGTAATCGGGATAAGGCATCCGCATTGCCATTGTCAACTCCCTTCACAAATTCAATAGTATAAGAATAACCATCGAGAAAAATTGCATATCTCTGCAGTCTATGGGCTGCCATGACCGGAATCCCTTTTTTTCTCCAAAAATTGATATTAAAGGTTTATGATCCGTTTTTAGAATGAAAGGTCTGCCATACAAATACTGATGAAAATATTTGACACCAAAAACCAAAGCTAAAGCCTCCTTATCCAGCTGTGAATACCCCTGCTCGCTTTTACTAAGCGTCCTTGAAGCAAATGCAATAGGCTTTTCCTCCCTATTGGGAAACCTATGTGACAGCACTGCACCTATACTATTAGGGCTGGTATCACAGGCTAAAACCAATTCCAGGGTTGTATCATAATGTGTGAGTACTGTTTTTGACATTAAATGATTTTTAATATCAATAAATGTCTTATTTTGCTCAGGACCCCAACAAAATTTGACATTAGTCTTCAATAAAGAATACAAAGGACTAGCCAAAGAGGACATGTTTCTAAAAGATTTACCATAATAATTGACTTGACCTAAAAAAGCTTTTAATTGATGCACATTTTCAGGAGTTTTCATCTGGGCAATGGCTTTAACTCTTTCTTCAGGAATATGCAAACCATCCTCATCAACACAATGTCCTAAAAAAGTGACACTATCTTGCATAAATTTACACTTACTAGCCTTAACTGTTAAACCAGCGGACTAAAACCTTTCTAACACCCCCAGCAGTCTGTCTGTGACTTCTTTGTCATCCTTACCCGCTATAACTACATCATCGTAAAAAAAACCAACTCCTGTTAAACCACTTAAAATATTTTCCATTTCTCTTTGAAGTAATCCTGGTGCAGATGCAATAATGGCTCTAATAAACCATCCGCTATCATTCTATCCAGTTACAAACTAACGTTATCCTTTAATGAAAATGGAATAATTCTAGGTCTACAAAATATTGGTTTTGAATCAGATTTAAGTACCAACTCAAAAGTCTTATTTGTATAACATCCCAAATAATTATGACGGACGGAAACCTCTCCACCATGCTCTGGACACGCAAGGTATTTAAATCTAATTCCATTGGAAGTACCTTAAAGGCAGTAATCCAATCTCTCCCCATAATCGGTGGACCCCCTTCGTTAACCACATACAAATCTAATGTCTAACCCTTATGACCAATAACTAAAGACAATATACCCAGCGGATTGATAATATTACCATTATATGCTTTTTATTTTAAGTTAGTTTTAATTAATTTGTCCAAACTACCAATTTTAAATTTTTTAACAATATCTACAGATATAACAGATATACCAGATCCAGTATCAATTTAAAATAAAACGTTTTTACCATCGACTATCAACTCCAAACAATAAGGTTTAATAAAATTAACCTGTAACGGTACTAAATTATATAAAGATTCCATTTCCATCATACCAACTTCATCCTGTTCCAAGTTATTTACATTGAAAGAGTCATTTTTACATACTTTTTTTAAATGACCTTTCTTATTACATTTTTTACAAAGCAAATCTTTATACCTACATTTAGGCTTCACATGAACAGCTTCCCACAACTATAACAAACCACCTCCGATCGCTTCTGACGCAAGCCCGTAGACATTGCTTTCCGCTGCACTCTGCTACCGACCACAAGCTCGTTCTTTGGTTCTTGATACAGTACTTCAACTTGATTTTGATTATGCAGCTGGTTTACATCATTGGTTGCTGCTTCCATTGCGACACTCAGTTCCACAGATCTTTTAAAATTCAAGGAAGCTTCCGACAGTAACCTCTTCTAAATATTTTGGTCCTTAATACCCCAAACTAATTGATCTCTTAAGGCATCCTCCAAGTGAGTGCCAAACCCACAAAATTCTGACATTTTCTTTAACACTGCAACGAATTGAATAATTGTTTCGTTGCCCTGTCTCCGTTCCTTAAATTTGAAACGTTCGGTGACCACATTCGGCTTCGGATTCATGTATTCCGATAACAAAGTTTTAAGATTATCATAAGATTTATCCAATGGTTTAACAGGTAAACACAAATCCCGTAATAAAGAATACCCTTCATTATCAATCAGGGTTAAAAATAATAATTTTTTTTTATGTGTATTTACTTCATTAAGCTGAATATACAGCTCAAAACGTTCAACCCATCCATTGAAATCGTCTTCCTTCAATTTGAATTCATAGACATGACCGACCATGCTACCCTTATTAGCCATGATAACCACGTTTTTAGATTTCACACGGCCGTATCTGACCCGATTACATGACTCAAAAAACAAGTAATTTGCACGCACGTTTCACTACTTCGTCGCCAATTGTAATGTCGAGGTCCACATTAATAACGGCAACACAATATTATAATAAAAGAGATTTAATGTGTACAAAACATGAATATTACATGATACTTAATCATTACATTGTTTTAACTGAAAGTAATCCGTTAGACAATTAGACAATTGTATAAATAAAAGTAACATAACCTATTTACAAATTAATCAATGCAACCACATACACTACAATAATAATAATAAATAATAGTAACAATAGGTAACCTATAACACTATCTCTCACTATTCTAATTATTCTAATTATCGGATATTCTAATATTTTTATAACTTTTCAGAGCATGGTAAAGTCCCAGAAATATATATAGAATTATAATAGAACAATATTATGCTAGGTATCAGTTTGATATTTGTCCTGAGCCATTCATTAAAGTAGACGAGGTGTCAAAAATAAAAAATCTTTACGAGAAATTGCTAAAAATATATCATTGTTAGGTGGTCTTGGCCATCAAATTTTGGCATGTAAATCTTATTGCAAAACAATTAAGTACAAATGCAAAGCATCAGGCATTTTATGTAATTCTAAATGTCATCAAAGTTTACCTTGTATAAATAAAAAACAAAACAAATGTTACCTATCTAATAAATAGAGTTAATAAAATATATTAAAATATATTATATTTTATATTTAATAAAAATAAATTTAATATAGGTAGTATAAAATATATTTCAATATTTAATTGTTAACTTGTATTACTTAATTTTATTGAAATAAATATAATATTATATTGTGAATGTATTAATAATATTTTTAATTAGCCATAAGAAGAAGGCTTAAGTTACTTTAGCCGGGTAATGTACACATAATCCATTTCCCAATAGTTTTTATTCACGGCTAAAGTTCGAAATTGGCTAGTGTCTACATTATCCAGATAATGTGCATATTATTCAATTTCGGACTTAAGTTGTAACATAAATAAGATAAAACGATTCTGTGCATTTATTTTCTATTGATCAGATAAAAAGATAAATATTTTTATCTATAGATAATGCACAACACATGCAACATATTTTGTAATATATAAGTCATGTACATAAAATTCAAACAAATGTTGATATTCACTCAAAATTGATTATACATTATGATGATCAATTCATCGAATTTATTGATTATTTAACATTTTAATCAACATTTTTATTTACTTATACGATATAAGTATACCAAAAAACAATAGGAAAATTAAAAAAAGTGATTTATTTTTACAGATGTTGTGAAAAAGTACTTATCATTTATCCATTCAAGTATGTGTGTATTATAATTATAGTGTATATTAAAATTTGAATATAAACAATGTTATATAGTAACTTTGTTACCATACATAATCTAATACAAATGTTTAATTTATGTTGCAGACAATGCCAAAGATTCTGTTCAAGCATTCTGTGACTATTATATTAAGAAAAAATATTACGGCGATTATCTTAAGGAAGTTTTTGAAACTAAAAAATAATTGGTTTTAAATATTTTGTTTTATTATTTTATGATAAATATAAATTAAATTGTATAACACAATATTATATTATATTATATTATTATGTATATCTATTAACTTGATTATAATTATAAATATATTATACAATATACAATTATAGTAACTCCTACTTAAACGGAAATTTTCCGGCGAATATAATTAAACCTATACCGTATATTAATAATAGTAGGTACTTGTCTACTATAAATTACTAATATTATAGGTATAATACAAGGAGATTTATTAAGCAAGTTGACTCCCATTCTTCCCTTTAAATAGTACATGTTTTATTCAAATTTTGATTTTTAGAGTTATTAAGTATACCTACCTAAAGATTATATTTTAACATTTCTGTAGTACTCTCGTACTACACTCGTACACTTATTTATTTAATGACGTGCTTTGAGTCCTCGTTGTTGGTCTTGATGTAGGAAGTTGATCACATAGGTGTATAAAGTTAGTAAAAGTAAAAGCTGGTTCAAAATGTTAACAGTAATAATGTTTATTAAATTATTGAAAATAATATAAGTGTATTCTAATAAACTTTAAATTTGAAGACAGAGTTACCTCAGTGCCTGAGAATCACCTGCAGTAAGCAAAGTAAAAAGTAATTCTAATTTCTTAATTGCTAGATTTGATATTTTATCCATCTATCAATCGGTGACGTGATCCGAATAGAGCCACCGGATTGGTCTATGAAAATACATGAAAATATTAATAAAATAATAATCTATGAAAATACATGCGTAACATGTGGAGTTGGTTTCGCCGGAATTGTTAATAATGTTGTTTTCTACAAAAAACGTATTTTATAATCAACAGTTTAAAGGACAAGGAAAACTCAAAGTCATGGAGTACGTAATAAATAGAGTAAACCGAAATACATGAGAATACGGTTTACTACATGCCTCCTCTGTAAAATTGGAGCCGTTGGTGCCAATCAGTGGAAAGTCTGAAGTGTCGAATAGTAGTTATGTGTTTCCGTTAGTTGTGGTTCTTCTTCGATAGGAGGAGCGATGGCTGTAGATGTAGGTTGTTCTTCCAGATTGATTGTTTCTAAACATTGTTCTTGTCTCATTATAGTTTGTTCTGTTGTCACTTCCTCTTGCTTCGTTATGTTATTAAATGTAAATGTAATCGTTAATATAATGATAAGTGATAACTAATATTGTTATATACAATATATAGTCGTGTATAGATTGATTATTTTGTAATTGAGCTACATTGTATTTTTTATCGTTATATATCCGCAGTTGCTCATGTGTTTTTGAAATAATGTTGAGGTCACTCATGTGATTGTTAATAACATTTTCATCAGTCATTATATAGAGGTCAAATGATACGTGTTGATATTCTTGTTGAGTTATAGTGGACGTTGGAATGAAATCCGAAAAATTGTTTTCAGCACTGGTACTAGGTATTAACATATCTCTGGTCGCGTACGCTCTGCATGTTTCGTTAATGCCCACTCCTTCTAAAATGTGTGTACTTGCTTCTAGGTCATTTTAGTGTTTATTACGATTATTTCGCTATCAGTAGCTTACAACCATTTGTTTCTATAACTTAGTTTATGGAAAATTGTCGCTTGTAGTCGAACATGTCGTATGTCACATGTGATTGGTACTTCCTTTGGGTCCTGTAGTAGTTGAACCTCGCATATTGGTCTGAGATTTCTAGGATGTAGGGATTGGATTTCTGGACATAAAACGAAACCCCTAGCATGTTTACAATGATTATAGTGAAATTCGTTATATGCTACATAATGTTCCTTATTCTTACTTATTGCTAAATACTTATGACTAGGTGCAATATACATACAATTGCAATTGGTTCGACAATATGGCTTAGGTATTAAATGATATAAAACAAAATTGTTCTGATAAATTAAAGGTATGGTTATGACAAATACAATGTTATTATTAGAGTAATATATTTCTATGTCCGACAGTTTCAAAATGTCATTTACTGTTTTCAGTGATAACGTATAAGGTAGGTCAGTAGTATAGGGGAACGTATGGTACACTTTTATTTTTAGCAAATTTTTTTATCTTAAAAAAAGCATTAAAAAAGCATTAAAAAAGCATAAAAAAGCATAAAAAGCATCTAAAAACGATTTTTGAAAAAATCGTTAAAAAAAAAAACCGACCTTAAATTGTTCCTGTTAAATATTACAAAAAATCTAAACAAATCTGTTCATTTAAAAGCTCTATAAAATGCATAAATTTAGTACTAATTTTTAGCGTTATCATATTATTGTTATTATTATTATTATTAATATCTTTAGGGTGTATTCCCATACACCCTGAAATACCATAGTGTATAAAAATAAAATATAAAATTTTTTCTTTATAAATAAAAATAAAAATAAGTATAAACAATGAATCGTAACAGTAAAATTATTAGTCTTTATGAAAAAATAAATAATGAGGGATTATTACAATCTTTAAAATCAGAGGAAGTTTATTTATGTACAAAATGTCAAGATTTTAAGAAAACTGATGAATTTAGTAAAAATCAAAAGTGGTGTAAGACTTGTATGAAAACCAAAGTTAATAATGATTTTAAAATATGTGAATGTGGAAAAAAAATTTATTTGAGATGCTATATTGTACATTTAACATCAAACTATCATAAAAAGAGAACGGAAAACATGAATAAAGAGAACATTTAATAGAAAATTATAAAAATAATTTTGTTATTAAAAAATAAATTCCATAAATAATATAAAATAAAATAAAATAAAATTTTTTCTTTATAAATAAAAATAAATAAAATAAATTGTATACAATAAATTAATAAAAATGCCGCCACAGAAAAAAATTATATTAGAAAAAATGAAAGTACCTGAGCTTAAATTAATAGCAAAACAATATGATATAAAAAATGTCTGTAAAATGAAAAAAGATTGTTTAATAGAAAATATAAAAAAGCAAGTTGCATTAAAAAAACCCTTCTTTCAGTTAGATAATTCATTGTTTACTGAAGACAATTATTTTAATAGTTCATTAAAAAGAACACCAGAAGTTTATGAGTTGATAGATGTAATTCAGCTGAATCCACGTCAAAATACTAAATTTAGGACACATAAAGCTGAATATAAAATTAGTTTTAAAGAAGCATTAATAAAAGATCTAAAACTATGTAATTCAAAAAACAAAATTAATTATATAGATAAATCTTTAAATGAAATGGTAAAGTTTGCTAAAAGCAACTCAGCATATAAAGAAGGCGATAGAATAAGTATTGCATTATTTAATCCAAAAATAAAAAACCTATATATACTGGAATGAGATCTGATGATATCATAGTAAACTTAAAATCTATAATTAATGGTTTATTAACTTCAAATGAAGAAATTGATATTACAGAAACAACTTTTCAAGTTCAAATAGTTAACAT